GTGTACCCCCACAATGTTATATCAAAGCGACCGGCTCGACACCGTAATGTGTGCTATTACTTTTATTGGCATTTCGAGTTACCATGGCGATGTAATTTGCAAACAAAGACGCCATTTTCATTAGTCATTTTTCATAGACTCGGTTTGCATATCAAATATCCAAAACGGCCAACTGAGCAAAACAGGAAAAATACTGTAAATCAGCCATTTTTAGAGATATTACGGTGAAATTTGGTGTGGTGGTAGCTGAGAGCGACACCCAATAAGTAATGGATTTAAAAAAAAATTAAGATGGCCATCAAAGCTACATTTAAATGGCTTTAATTCAGCTATTTTTACACAGAGCTGAAATTTGGTGTGGTTATAGCTGAGAACCTTCCCCATCACATACTGAATCCAAATCAAAAATCCAAGATGGCCACCCTAACGTAAAAGATAAAAATGACTATAACTCATGATGTGGTCCTGTTGGCGTCATCGTGCCGTGATCTTCAGCTCTCACTGGAGCGGTTCGCAGCCGAGTGTGAAGCAGCTGGGATGAGAATCGGCACCTCCACATCTGAGGCCATGGTCCTGAATCGGAAGAGGATGGATTGCTCTCTTCAGGTCGAGAGTGAGGTTCTGCCTCAAGTGGAGGAGTTCAAGTATCTCTGGGTTTTGTTCACGAGTGAGAGAAGAATGGAGCGTGAGATTGACAGATGGATTGGTGGAGCATCTGCAGTATTGTGGACTCTGTACTGGTCCGTTGTGGTGAAAAGGGAGCTGAGCTGTAAGGCAAAGCTCTCTGTTTACCTGTCGGTCTACGTTCCTACCCTCACCTATGGTCACGAACTCTGGATAGTGACTGAATGAATGAGATTGTGGATACAGGCGGTTGAAACGAGTTTCCTTCTGGACTCTCCCTTAGAGATAGAGTGAGAAGTTCAGTTATCTGGGAGAGACTTGGAGTAGAACCACTGCTCCTCCACATTGAGAGGAGTCAGTTGAGGTGGTTCAGGCATTTGGTAAGGATGCCCCCTGGGCGCCTCCCTAGGGAGGTGCTTCGGGCATGTCCGACTGGGAAGAGACCCCGGGGAAGACCCAGGACACACTGGAGAGACTATTTATGTCTCTCAGTTGGCCGTGGAACACCTTGGAATCTTCCCAGAAGAGCTGGAAGAGGTGGCTGTGGAAAGAGATGTCTAGACCTCCCTGCTCAAGCTGCTGCCCCCAAGACCTGACTTCAGAACAAGTGGAAGATAATGGATGGATGGATGGATGGATGGATGGATGGATGGATGGATGGATGGATGGATGGATGGATGGATGGATGGATGGATGGATGGACTA